GATTCCTTTCTCATTTCTGTCCCCTCTCCTAATGCATTCATATATTTACAGAGTTTTGGTACCAGTATTTCCTTAAATTTTTTATAATATCCTACTGTATAACCATCGGGTCCTGGACTCTTTCCTCCCACCATACTCAAAAGGGCCTCTCTAATTTCCTCTTGTGATATGATATTCTCCAGGGCTAACAATTTATCTTCTGCTAATCTTAGTAGTTGTGCTTCTTTAAGGAATTCTAACTTTTTCCTATTCTTCTCTTCCTCCTTTCCTTTCTGATCCTTAGGGTTCACCTCATAAAGCTTACTATAGAACTTTTGGAACATATTAGCTATATCTGTCGTGGAATATACCAGTTCCCCATTCTTGTTCTTAATTCTTTTCTATATAATTTTTAGATTTCTTCTCCAACTTTTTCATCAGGTATTTCCCTGGCCTATTCCCCCATCTACATATATCTTTTGAGACGCTGTTGAAGATTCTCCTAGTCTCCTGCTCCATTAAATCTTTTAATTCCTCTCTTTTAAGGATGATCCTCTGATATGCATCTTCTTCCTGTTTCCTTTTGTGATTCTGTTCTAATTTATATAACTCTTCCGTTACCTCCTTTTTTTTTTCTCTTTCGTTCTTCCTTTTTTTTTTTATCCCCAAAGCTATCAGAATTCCCTTCATATATGCTTTATGTGTCTCCCAGATAGTGGCCACCGATATTTCTTTTGTTTAATTCAGGGCAAAAAATTCCTTCATTTCTTCTTTTAACCTTCCCTCCACTATCGGATCCCGTATAAGTAATTCATTTAATCTCCACCTTGCCCTACTATTTAGATCTCCTCCCATCCACAGACTCGCTATAACAGGGGCTTGGTCTGATAAAGACCTCACCTTTATATCGGATTTCATTAACGATTCTAATTGTCTGTGCTCAGGATATAATCTAACCGTGAATATAATCAATGCACAGACGAGTAGAAGGTGTAATCCTCTCTCTAGGTTGTTTCACTCTCCATCTCCATCTATTAATTGATTTTGAAATAACCTCTTTTTTAGAGCTCTTAATTTCCTTCCTCCCTCCTTCAGCGTACCAGAGGATGAATCCATCCACGGATCTAGGCATAGATTAAAGTCACCCGCTACAATTAGTCTACCTTTCTGGAAATCCGTTATTTTACCTAGTACGTTCTGCAAAAACTTTTCTGGGTTTTTATTTGGGCAATATATATTGACTAATGTATATTTCTGCCCCTGCATTTCTCCTCTTAGTCACAGATACCGGCCCTCTGGATCTACTAGTTTCTCCTCCACCTTAAAACCTATATTTTTAAAAAATCCAATTGCAACTCCTTTAGCCCTCTTTATTGGTGGATCAGCATAATACCAATGAGGATATTTTGTTGAGTATATCTTAACATTAGTATCATAGGTCAGATGTATCTCTTGCAGGAGAACCACATCTATATAATATTAATGCACTTCCCTCAAAACCTTATGTCTTTTAGTAGGTGAGTTTAAACCCTTTACATTGTAGGTCATAATATTAATTAAACTCATCTCTTTTTCTGTTTCAATTTTTTTTATTAAGAAAGTTTTGTTTTAAGAATACAACAAGCTCAAGATACGCCCATGCAGAAGCAGAGCAGAACAATAACACATAAACAGATACATCCAGCTGACTTGCATTAGTCAAATAACGAAGGCGGGACAGCAAAAAGCCGAACCAAATATTAGCAGCAGTAATCCAACATATTACCGGAAAAAGAAGAGGAAAGAAAAAAAAGTTAGAAGAAATGAAAAAGAAAATAAAACTAAAAAACAAAAAAAAAAAGAATCAGACAGAAAACATGGAGGAAAGGGAAACTAGAAGAATCACGGATCCAGGGCTAGCACAGGCAGTGACTATAAGAGGCCATAACTAGTAAGAGGCAGGGATGGCAAGGAGTAACATATCCAAGGTTCCCAAACCTTAAGGAATCTCGGATGAGAATCATGAAGAATGCTAGACATCTGTTCATTGATCAACATAGCATTCATCTGGGTCTTCACCCCCTGGAAGACAACCAAAGGGGTTCTCCAAGCTTGAGCTATAGCACGTTTGGCCAAAATAAATAGGTAGGATACCAATTTCTGCTAAGACCTTGACAGTCCCAAAATTGGATAACGCAGGAGGGCCACAACCCTACGGACCGTAATATGAAATAGCATTTGTAGCAAACCAAAAACCCTAGACCAGAAGCCTCTGGGTCCCACCAGATGTGCAAGATGTCCCCGCGTAGACCAAAGTTCCGGAAACACCTATCTCCGCCAGTCGTATTAAAGTGAGCAGTCCGAGCCGGGACTCAAGCCGGGACCGTAGGCTGCCTCAAGAATGACTGTATTGAATGAACATTTCGCCACCATCCCCCAGACCCTACACCAATCCTCTGCCGCAATCAAGACACCCAGTTCTCGCTCCCATTGAGAGACATAAGACAGGGGTGGTGAGAAGGACCTACTGTTAAGGGAGGCATAAATTACAGAAATGAGACCAGGGGACCCTGTGGAATGATGACAATTGTGCTCAAAGGGCGTTTTGTGGTAAGGGTATGTAGAGGTACGACGGAGGGATAGGACCCAGTGGCACAATTGCAAATACCGATAATATTCCCGTGGCAGGACCCCCCTTGATTCTCGAAGAGACTCCCATGATGGAAACGTATGAGCGCTCAGAAAATCATGTACAATACCAAAGCCATGGGAGGTCCACCAAGAGAAAGAAGGAGGATGTTCTAGGCCTGGCGGAAATAAAGAATTATGCGTAATTGGCAAAAGAGGTAGAAATTATGAAATCAAATTACCCAAATATTTTACAGAATCCCAGGTTCGTAAACTGTGAAGCATGATAGGGCTCAAATGCGAAACTCATCTCTTTTTGTAACTTTTCTTCTCCATCCTCCTTCTCTTTACCTGTAGACTGACAGAATGGGTATTCTCATATACTATTATCCAATTCCCATTTCTGCCATCCCCCCCTTAAAAGCCCCCTGGCCTCTATAATGCCTTGGAATCTGACGTAGGTTTCCCCAACTGATGATTCCTATTTTAGGGTATGACTCAAGCATGTTAGCCCCATCCTGTCTCCCCTTTCTAATGTAGGGGAGTTAAACTTTTATCTTTGTTAAGTCTCCAGTCTTTCTTTCTCCCCTTTCTTTCTTTCTTTCTTTCTTTCTTTCTTTCTTTCTTTCTTTCTTACTCCCCTTCCTTCCTTTTTTCTCCCTTTCCTTCCTTTTTTCTCCCCTTCCTTCCTTTTTTCTCCCCTTCCTTCTTTTTCTCTTTCTTTCTCCCCTTCCTTCCTTCTTTCTTTCTCCCCTTCCTTCCTTCTCTCTTTTTCCCCTTCCTTCTTTCTCTCTTTTTCCTCTTCCTTCTTTCTTTCTTTCTTTCTTTTCCTCTTCCTTCTTTCTTTCTTTTTCCTCTTCCTTCTTTCTTTTTCCTCTTCCTCCTTTCTTTCTTTTTCCTCTTCCTTCTTTCTTTCTTTTTCCTCTTCTTTCCTCCTAAAAATCTTCAATATGTGCAGTATTTTGAGGTAGTTGAGGTCATGGTGAGATCCATCCTATGATGGATCCCATTCAATGGTCTCAAATGCAGGATCCCAGGATACTTTGATATCAGTAGTAATTTGGGAAACCATTCTGGTCAATTCTTGGACCTTGTCCAAGAGGTCAGAGAACTTGTCAAACAAAGATTGCACATCGACGGGACTAGGGGATACAAACCCCTCTGCAAGATCAGGAGGGGCAGGGCTTTGAGGTTGCTCTCCATGCTAAGCAAGAAGTAAATCAGCCATAGTCCACTCCATGTGGGACTCTGTGGAAGCTGGGGAGGCCCTATTGGAGGTAGGATTACTCACAGCTGAGTCCTGGGTACGATTCAGGTCCAGGGGATCCTCCATGTCTTTCACCTGTATAATATAAGGATCCTTCTATTTGTTCTATGATATTATGATATTTCTGGAGAATTGCAATTAATATTGCTGCATTTCTGACATGACTGTTGTATTGCCACATCTCTGTATTTAAGCTACTGCTTAAAGAGGAGCATCAATAAGGTGGGTGAACATTAAAAGACTGCAGCTACAAAAACTGTAGCTGCTGACTTTTAGTAAACAGAAACTCACCTGCCCAAGGATCCAGCGTTGTCCTCACCTGGGCTGATTTCTTCACTGGTCTTCAGTTTCCCAACGTCGGCATGTTGACTGTCTGCAGCTGGCTATGACTCTTTCGGCTTCACTGCCAGCTGCTCACTGTGCATGCGCAAGCCATGCTGTGCTTTGTTTATAATCCTGTGATGTGTCCCAGAAGGCTATGGGCAGAGGGAACTTTTGATCAGATCGAATAGATGATCCGAGTAGAAGTGAGAGTGGAAACCTGACAAAACTAGGTAACAAAATGCCATCCAAATGTGACAGAGAAGGGTGGAATCATGAAAAAAGTGGAACTTCCCCTTTTGGGTGAATTTCTCCTTTAACATCTTTTTGATGTGTATGTGTATTGTCCCCTTTCACAGTTTTGGGGTAAAATTGGAGGAGTGGGGAGTATGTTTGTAATGGGCTGTTTGTAAAAAAGTAACATGTAAGATCTTTCAAAACACTACTTGATACAAAAAATTTAATATGTTTTGTCAACTGCTGTTAATTAAAAACAATAGTTATCCCTCATTGCTACTTTTCATTGTGTACAGTATTGGTGTATTTACTAGCCATGTCTATTTTTTTCTAATAGTATAAACAACCATTTTGGGCTAAACTATATTCTTGATCCCATTTAGTATTGACATTTGGTTCATTCGCAGTGCATTGAAATGATGATGATGAGGTCATTCTTTTCTGCAACTAATTAAATTCAAAGTGTAGTTTAGGCCTTACTGTTCCAATCCAAACTGGGTATGTTGTTGCTGCTATCTGCAGAAATCTTATCTAAAATTATTTTATTGCATTTTTGCTACTTCTTTCTTCTATCTTTTTATCTTTACAGTTCATGGAACGATTGAAGTTACTGTTTGTTACACCTAAGCATCAGCCAGACCTAATTTACCTTCGCCATGTTCCTCTCCGGAAAGTTCATCTATTCACCCTAATTCAGATATGTTGTTTGATCATTTTATGGATATTAAAATCAACAGATGCTGCAATAATTTTTCCTCTGATGGTAAAAGATATACTACATTCATTTGGACTGATTGTTGAACTTGTACATGGTACATAGTGATGGGCGAAGGTTCAGTTTGCTGGATGATCATTGAGCAATTGAAAAAAAAATAGCAATCCCCACTACGGGAGCCAAATCTTGTAAATTTTTCTTGTCTTTGTCAAGCATTTTTGCAAGATTGTGGTAAAAAAGCACGTAGGTAGCTGGGTACTGGTTCCAATGCAAATGAAAAAAAAAAAAGAAAAATGTTCAGTGAGGAGTGGGTCTTTTAATGTGGGAAACATTAAACATAAAACATCCCCCAAGAAAGGAATTGATTTAAAGGAAATGTGTTAACGTGCACCTGAAGCAGGAAGCCTGTAGGATGTACTCCAGAAAGATTGACATCTAAAAATTATATGTATATTGCCCCTAAACGAAGGTTCCTGCACTGCAGTCTTCTGTTTGTAAACATATCTGGGGAATCCTATCTGATGTCACTGAGCAAATATGGTAATGACCATACAGAATGTGGTCAATGACATCAGACAGCATTACCAGCCAGTTTGTTGGCTTTCAGCAGCTGGCCTGGGAAGTGTCATACGTGGAAAGATGTACGAGTACAGGTCACCGTGTTTGTTTCAGCGTGCCTCCAAAAAATTAATATCAGACTTCTATCTATAATATAGGTCAGGTATGAACTATATGGCTACCCCACACTTTTTAGTTTTTTGCATCTGATTAAAATGTTTTAAGAATTTTTTTTTCATTCAGTATCCTTCAAAATACAGACTCTTTTGTGTCCTTGCCAAAACTCTTGTACGTTTTCAAAACTCTCCCTATTCCCATCCCCTCATTAAGTGTTCTTGCATGGCAAGACCACTTACTGTTATCTCACATATATATTCTTATTATTATAGCCAAATTTACCACCTTAACTCCTCCCACAGTTTTTACACTACATAGACAGTAATACCGAAACGTGCGGATTGTTCCCGATTGGTGTGCTATTACTTTGTGGAACGTTTCGCCGAATGGTTCACGAAATATTGGCGTTTTTGTGGTGAAATTGGTCCCATAGGAATGAATGGCGGAATGTTCAAAACTAGAGTGGGAGCTGACAAAAGCTAGAGTGGGAGCTGAAAAATCAGGACATGATTTCTAAACTGCCATCACTCCCTCATTTTCAAGCCCACCTACACAAATCCTATATCAAAACGTTCAGCTATCCCTGCTGCCACTAACAATGTCCACGGCTAAGCTATAGTCCTGATAGTTTTCACAATATGACCATTTGTTTGCAACTCATGCTGCCCATTGACATTCATTGAAACTCCACTCTAGCCACCTCTAATTTGAAGGGCAATTTCTAAACTGCGACTGTGCCTTCATTTTTAATATTTCAGAGACATACTATGCATCAAAATGTAGGTCTGGGTCTTGTGATTCTCACAATATAAAGCTCTTTGGTGTAGGATTTATCATTTTTAAACTACAATCGTTTGAAGATGGCAAGCCACTCCACCCAGTTACTCCGCCCACTCCAGTTGGTGGAGGCAAGAAGACTTCACACAAATTTCCCCAGAAATTGTAGCTTTTCTAGTTTATGCTCAAATCCTTCCAAAACCATGCTATGTCATTTATCTGGCACAATCACAAACCCCACGTATCCCACAGAACTATGTTCATCCACAGGCGCTATGGCAGACTAGGCGTGCCTAATTTTCTAAAATATTATCAGGCTGCCCAAATTACTCCATTGATAGCCTTTTACGCTGGGAAGGCGGCTTCTCTTTGTTTTTGAGGTTGCCAAGTACCTGAGGATGTCTTCCATATTCGGTGGAGCTGTCCCATGCTGGGACGCTTTTTGGACAAAAGTGTTCACACTTTTACACAGATTGTTTGAGAGACCCACCTGCCTAGGGATCCTGGGTTTGCTTTATTACATTTTAAACTGTTGGACCTCACTAAACAACAATTTAAATTGTGCTAGTATCAATAGTACAAAGGACACAATAATTCGAAGAGTGGGGACACAGAAAAAATAACTCCAAAACAGAGGTGATAAGACCTAATTAGGTGCAATATGAACTGTGATAAAGACAATGTGAGTAATAATCAGCAAGTGAACATAAAAAATACATAAAAATGAAAAGGCCTGAACCCAGACCAAACTAAGTGCAATATAGTTGGTCCATTAGTGGAGCGTGATGATGGTTGATGCCATTTTGGTTCACCCTGGAAGTATAAACCCATATCAATACATAAAAAGGATTACCAGTTTCAACACTACTGAAATCATTACAGTTATACGGTGAGGAAGGTCATATTCCTGTGATCGGTGCGATTCTATCATCTTGGATATCTTTTAAGGGCCCTGGGAGTGTAAGGCCTGAAAGCTGTGTGGCCCCTTGGGGTTTTGGCGTGGAGGTGAGGAGGCAATTTTGCCGGTGACAGATCTATCATTCATTTCACCCAATTGCTTTGTTCGTTTTGAGTTGGCGGTCTATTTACATGGACTTTATGCCGATTTTATGCCGATCACTTATGTTTATTTTGATGGTCACTCATTATTTGTTATATGTCACGTTGCTTTAATTATTTTTTGTGCTTATTGACGCACATTTATTTCCACTGTGCATTTTTCACTGGCAAAAATCCTGATTATAAGGTGCATTTTTAGTTTCATGCACCTTGTATGATTAATTTTGCACATTTTTTTTTTTGCTTTTTGATTTTGTCACAGTTTTCTTTGCGCGGGCGCTTTTTGTGCCCTTTTATTTAGAACGTGTCAGTCCTATTATGTTGAATACATTATTTATGTTCACTTGTTGACTATTGTTCACAATGTATTTCATCACAATCTATATTGCACTTAGTTTGGTCTGGGTTCAGGCTTTTACATTTTTATGTATTAATCATGTTCACTTGCTGATTATTACTCATGTTGTCTTTGTCACAGTTCATATTGCACCTAATTAGGTCTGGATTCAGGCCTTTATACTTATCACCTCTGTTTTGGGGTTATTTTTTCTGTCTCCCCACTCTTCGAATTATTGTGTCCTTAGTACTATTGACAATCCAAATTGACAATCTCTAGAGCGTGAGAGAAGCAATTTGTTTTTTCTCTGAGGTCAAAACAAGGTTTGACGGATTTCTTATAAATGAACAACTCACCAGTATACTCTTTAATACTCACTCCAAATTTCTCAAGACCTGGGACCCAGGTCATAGCATCATCCTAATCTTGTGATATAACTTAATAGCAATGAGCCTGCAGGGTGGCTGGGGTCTCCTACACACCGCAGTCTCCCCCCCCCCCCTACATTTTTCCATGTACCCTACCTTCTTGCTTTCTCATCTCCTTTTTTCTCCTGTCTGCCTTTCTCCCTACTCATCTTTTTTTATACTGACCGTCGGCTGATCCTAAGCTGACACCACCTTATTGACTATTCTATGCTCTCCAATTACTTCATTATGGAGCATGTGATCTTACAATGTTGCTTTACACACTCCTGCATCTGGGTTCTCTGGCTCTTTTCTACATGTCTGCATAACTATATCTTTCATGACAACTTAGGAATGCGGCCACTCCTTGTATTGCCACACCGTGCTCTTTGTTCTTTTAGTTTAATTCTAAAACAATACAGAAGTAAAAAAACAAATACATTGTGGAGTTTCCCCACCACCACAGATCGACATCATACTCTAATTCATATAACAATAATGGTGGGAACCTCCTGCACTCATAAGTGTTCAACTCTATACAAAGAGAAGAGAAGCAGCTAACATTAAATCCAATGATTACCATACACATATGGTAATGTGTATGAACCAATGATTACCAATCCTTGATAAACCAATGATTACCATACACATATAAGATAAAAAATGTAGCGCTACTCACATAATAAATAAGTGCATATAAAATATATATACCAAGTGTATCAATTAGTGAAAAAATGTCAAATCAACTGTTTAACCAAGTGATCTCATGCAAGATTCCAAACAAATTATATATGAACACAAAAATACACTCAAACTGTGATGGTGATGATGATGATGAAAACAATTAGTGCTAATTGATTACAACCTTCAAAATTAATTATAATAACCTAAGACCTGTGAAAAGCATATATGTCTTTCTGTACAAATCCATTCAGTGTAAATAATATACATATAAAATCACACGTGCATATAGTGTAGTGAAACCACAATATAAAGACAACTTAATCAATGCTCTTAAAGTACAATATATGCTGATGGTAACATTTAGATAACACACACTTGTGCTGGTATTTGTGTGCAAGTGGATATGACAATCCGACCACCGTCTGGATAAGTCTATCACCTTATCACTTCGACCCTTGCGGGTCAAAGCACTTTTAATGGATCCTTCTCACAGATCCTCCAAGCCTGCTATCCACTCCAAATGGTCGCTCCTTGTCGCACTCAAATACCTCAGGGGTCAGCAATCCACTAATGGCTCCTCTCCAGGTAAGATCAAGTGTAGCACCAATCTCTTATCACTTCGACCCTTGCGGGCCAAAGCGCTTTAATGGATCCTTCTCCATTGAGTGCGACAAGGAGCGACCATTTGGAGTGATAGCAGGCTTGGAGGAGCCAAATTCTCCAAGCCTGCTATCACTCCAAATGGTCGCTCCTTGTCACTCAAATACCTCAGGGGTCAGCACTCCACTAATGGCTCCTCTCCAGGTAAGATCAAGTGTAGCACCAATCTCTCATATGAGACGTAAAATAGATCCTCCCATAGTGTAGTAAGTTTATTTGTAAAGTAGGGACAATAACAAAGATCATCAACTCACATAGCAGCAGTATCCAGTTCAAACCCCATGCTTTCGCATGAGGGAACGAATGTATGGGTGTACAACAGGGTGTACAGGTGTACCAAGATGGCCGCTACACCGAAAGTGCGTCACTACGTCAGGCCGACGCGTTGTGTCACAATACCATGTGACTTCCTCAGGGCTGGCGTTCATAGTGACGACCTTCCCTCATAT